TGACAACAGCGCATTTGAAACAGAACATTTTCGCATTGTTTTAATTTCGTTTTTATGGACTTACTGCGAAATTAAAAACCACGCTGATATTTTCTACAGTAGACTAAAAAGACATGTTTCAAGAGATTATAAACCAATTTCTTAAAAATTGTTAGAAACAAAACCAATTTTTTTTACATAAAAGCCATTCATTCGTACAGTAACAGCGAGGGACTTCCGCGATCGTGTCCATCGCTACGAACCGGTAACCGGTAGTCGATCCGCCGGCGCCCAATTCACGATCATTACGTGCCAAAATTTCAACTTTGTCTGGCGCTTAATTGAGGTGTAAAATACAAAGTTTTTGTGGCACTGGCGCCTAATTGAAGGTGGCGCTTAACTGAAGACAAATACGGGGTACTTCTATGTATCTCTCTATATACTTTAACAGGTCAGTTAATAGCTAGCAAACTAGATGTTGATAATCCTGACGACTTTTTGCTTTACTTGGTAGCTGATGACACAGGTAGGATTTGTTCCATGCTGAACAATTTACTGATTATACACCAGTTCTAAGATTTTGGGAAATATCTATCTTGCATTTGAAGGCAGTATGTCCAAAAGTGGGTCTTTCACTAATGAGACACATTATCAAATGTTGTCTTGGTATTTTACAGTTTATGTTATTGTTTACATTCGTATTACTGGTTCATGTATTTGTTTGTATTTACACATGATCTAGATATTTTACAATTCATATCACCCGTTGCCTTTTTACCCTGACTCTGATTTCAATTCACAGAACAAGAACTAGGACCGAGAGATTGTCCGCAGCAACTGAAAAGTGACCTCCATACTAAAAGACAACCTCACATATTTGGATACAGAAACAAGAATGTTCATGTCAATTGGCCAACGCCTATGTAAAATGTGATTGGCCAACGCCAATGTTAAATGTGATTGGACAATGCTTATGTGAAATTTGATTGGTCAATGCCTCATTTTATATGCAGCAAATGTTCACTTGTGATATTGGAAAAGAGACAATAATTTGCCCAGTGACTGAATATGATCAGAATTGTAATAATATTGTTACTTCTTCGCTGATGGTGTAGATTTGGAGTCATTGATTGGCTTCATTATAGAATCATCATCTCTATGAGAAATAAAAATTCTCATCATCTGAAAGTAGATGAATCTATAGTACATTTCAGCTCAAGTATACTACAAAAGGGTTTATAGCAGTATTATGTAATAACCTCCAACAAAACATGCAAAAAACTACAGAGTACCAAATATCAGTAATAATACTGCCGTAACGGATCATTTGCAATAACTTTTAAATGGTGAATTTTATTATTGCAGCTTTATAAGAAATATGATTCTACAAATTTTAAATACAATATTCACTTTCAGTTAATGGTAAATTATTAATTTTATTTGACTTAATTAAACTCTTAATACAATGGGTTGAACGATAGAAAATTACTTTTACTGTACATATATTAATTTAATATTGGAATTTAACTAAATGTTTGTGGAAATACTGGTTGATGTTGTATATTGCATTTTTACTCTGAAATACTCAGAAGCATTTTTTTTTTTTAGTTTTAATTTGAACTAATTTATTATGCACGAAACTAATAATCAATTTGTCTGATTCACCTTTATCATTATCCATTGCTGACTATTTGCATTCCAAACTTTTCAGAATGATGAAACGTATCGGCAGAGGATTGTACTTACCTATCATTGATGTAGGCCTGAGAGTAAGGCCTGGAATGCAAATTAGTCAGCAATGGCAATGATGAAAGTGAATTGTAACTGTGGTGTGTTCATTAGGCTATGATGCATTGAGAATAGATGTATGTAGACCAGTCATCAATACTTCACCGAATGTTACAGTCAAATAAAACTGCTAAACTCATTACTCTGGTGGCCCCTTTTTGGTACACATGGTCTTGGCTACCGGTATATTTGATATTTTTTATCATAATCTAAATTGACTACACTGATTTGTAAATTGTATTTTAATGCTGTATATTACACAGAAAAGTTGCGTGTTTGTGGAAGCGAAGCTTGAATTTGTAGTGTTTTCAATGGTGCAATTTCTCCCCCTCTTCACTTATTGAACTGTTAATTCTTACATCATTGGTACAATTCACATTCTGAGAATAAAAAGCGTTCTATACAGGATAGCAGATAATGTGTGCATTCTATACTAGATAATGTGTGCATTCTATAGTGGATGGTGGATAATGTGTGCATTCTATATTAGATAATGGATAATGTGTGCATTCTATACTAGATAATGTGTGCCTTCTATAGTGGATAATGTGTGCATTCTATATTAGATAATGGATAATGTGTGCATTCTATACTAGATAATGTGTGCCTTCTATAGTGGATAATGTGTGGATTAGATAATGGATAACATGTGCATTATATACTGGATGGTGGATAATGTGTGCATTTTATACTAGATAGTGATATTGTGTGCTCTCTACCAGATGAATAATGTGTGAATTCTATATTAGATGGTGTGTGATTCTATAATATGTGCATTATATACTAGATAGTGGATAATGTGTGCATTCTATACTGGATAATGGATAATGTGTGAATTCTATACTAGATAATGTATGCATTCTATAGTGGATAATATGTGCATTCTATACTAGATAGTGAATAATGTGTGAATTAGTGGATAATGTGTGCATTCTATACTAGATAATGTATGCATTCTATACTAGATAATGTATGCATTCTATAGTGTTCAGTGTGTACATTCTATACTAGATAGTGGATAATGTGTGAATTAATGGAT